AAGTTTGATTAAAGAATACTTCCTTTAAAGTCAAAAATATGTCTTTACAAGACATGTAATCTTATCAATATCAAATTATTAATTTATGTTTTTTTTCAGTCATATACACATTTTTAAAACCACAAAATATAAGGATCTAAACATGTCCAGCCCGTAGGTTCTCAAGTGGCAAAATGCTTTAATATCAAAAGTAGGGGATTCCAATGTCAGCTGTGGTTTTGGCCAGTTAAAACATTCACGAAGCAGAATTAATTCTATTAGGCCACCAGGGTGCTATTTAATGCATGGCACTAATTACTGGACTGAAAAGATTATACTATTTTCAGACAGACTTAACAACTCTCTTAGGACAGCAATTAAGAAAGTCGGAGTCTTTGCTGTAAAGTCATTTCTTGAGTAAAATGGGAATCTTGTGGGAAAGCACTCTTTAAATGCCACCCAAGTATTAGTCACATATTATTGTTAAATTCAACATCAGAAAGACATGGAAGACACAAGAATCTAAATAAGGTATAAATTGTTGGTATGACCAGGTAAAATGTATAGTTATATCTTGCAAGTTGTTGAAGACACTGAAAATCTATCTAAAAATAAAAATAGTTGTAAATTATATTTGAGAGAGTAGCATATCATCCTTGAAATCTTCCTTGTCTTGGAAAACAAAGGTACGGGAGGTAAAAATGCCAATTTTAACTGTGCCATTTACAACCAGGTGCCATAACGGTGTAGGTCTGATAACTATAGTCATTTTACATTTCATCAAGTAAAATAATGCTGCTTTTCTGCCATGGCTGAATAAAATAAACATAAATGCTAGAGCAGAAATTTAAACCAAATTTTATAGCAATGATAATTACCTATTTTTTCTTTCTCAGTGATTTGACATTTTCAAAGCATTTGTATTTTTTTATTTCATTACTCTTCATTGCAACAAATACTCATTATGTGCTTCCTCTGTGCAAACCACTGTATGAGATTCAGGCCCAATAAGATTACAAGTGATACAGACTTCCTTTCAGATTCCTTTTTTTAATTGACACATATCTCTCAACCAAATTTATATCAATATGTTATAAATGAATGGTTATGCTTTTGCAGTTATTATTTATTTTACCAAAAAAAATAAACTGAAAGATTTGGCAAATACAACAAATATCATTTACTTCCTGCCACTTTTATGCCACAACCCTAATTTATACAATTATCATCTGTTGCCTAGATTGTTTGCAGCATCTTACTAAAAGCTCCCCTGCAACCACGTGCATTCTCTACAATCTGTTGTCACCAGGGCAGTCATAATAATCTTCCTTGCCAAAACCATGGTCATCAGTCACCTCTAATAGTTCCCTGTTGCTCTCAGAATAGCACAAACAAACAAACCCTCAGCCACACAAGATCTGGATCCTGCATATTTCTACAGTACTGGCTCTGAGAATCCTCTCAGAAACACTTCTGTTCAACCTTCGGGCCTAGGGAAATATTTACATCTTCCTTGCCCTGGGGACTTTACATGCCTTATTTCCTCTCTGCGGAGCTAGTGACCCTTCTTTCTTCCAATTCCTATGTCTCCTTGACATTTCACATTCCAGATTGCTTCTTCTGAGAAGCCTCTCCTTGTTTCCGGAATTTAGGAGCTTCTAATGGGAGCTGGAACAGTGCCTTTGCTTCCATCTACTTGTTCTTTCAGAAAGTCTTTATTAAATAGCTACTATGTGCCAGGCCTTATTCTAAAAGCTTGGGGGATCCATCGGTGAACAAACAAACAATAGAATCTCTGCTGCCTTGGCACTTACAAGAGGAGACAACTACCAAAGTAAGGAATAGATGAATTATAAATACAGGACACTAGAAGGACATATTGGGGGGGGGGAATAGGACAGAGGATGGGCAATGGTACATACCTTGACAGGTACAGAAGATGCAATTTTATAAATTTTCTTTTTTAAATAGATTTTTATTGATTTCAGAGAGGGAGAGATAGAAACATCAGTGATGAGAGAGAATCATTAACTGGCTGACTTCTGCACACACACACACCTCCCCCCCCACTAGGGATCAAGCCTGCAACCTAGGCATGTGCCCTTGACTAGAATCAAACCTGGGACCCTTCAGTCTGCAGGCCAATACTCTATCCACTGAACCAAACCGGCTATGGCAGAAACTGCAATTTTAAATAAGAGATTCTGCCATTGGCTTTCTTGAGAAGATGGCATTTGAACAAAGACCTAAAGAGGAAGCTTAGCCATGGAGATATTTAAGAAGAGGAAATAGCACAAACACCTTAAAGAGCTTAAGAAAGAACAAAAAGACCCATGTGGCTGAGGCAGAGTGAGCAATGGGTGGGGACAGCGCCAATGGAGATCATGTGGCCAGGAGACAGAGGATTTAGGGCTTTATCATCCAATTGGATGACTTTAGCTTTCCCTCAGGTGAAACACAGCCACTGGGGGTCTTGGAGCAGAAAGTGTGCCATATTCTATTTGTGGTTTTAAAAGGATCACAAGCTGCCTTGACTGATTTGGCCCAGTGGTTAGAGCATTGGCCTACAGACTGAAGGGTCCCAGGTTCGATTCTGGTCAAGGACATGTACCTTGGTTGCAAGCACATCCCCAGTAGGGGGTGTGCAGGAAGCAGCTGATCGATCTTTCTCATAGATGTTTCTAACTCTCTATCCCTTTCTTTCTGTAAAAAAAAATCAATAATTAAAGGACCACAAACATGGGATAAAGAGGGCAGGTGTGGAGGAAGGAGAACCGGTATAGGCGAACATTGCGATGATCCTGGCAGAGACAATGGTGGTTGGATTTAGACGACATGGAAGAGGTGGTAAGAAGTGAGTCGGAGCTGAGAGGATTTCCTGACAGATTGAATGTGGGTTACTGGGGGAAAAAGAGGAGTCAAGGATATTTCCCAGTTTGTGGTCAAAATAACAACTGAAAAGATAGAACTGCCATCAATTGAGATGGCAAGATTGTTGAGGGAATAGTTTGCAGGACTTACATGTTGTCAATCTCCCTGGATCTGTCTGAGCCATTGCATCACTGTGAGTCTTCATATAGGTCGCTCTTTCCTAAGTGCCTCCCTTGCTTGCTTTCTTGCTCAGCCATGTGCAAAGCCCTGCTCAGGTGCCCTACCTTCAGAAAGCCTTCCTTGCCATCACTCCTCCCACTCTGACATAACCAGAAGCAGCGCTGGCATATTTTACATGTAGCATGCTCTATAGTGGTTTATTGTCATGTTTGTCTCTTCTGTTTGACAGTAGAAGATATATTGAGTTCCTGGTCTGCTACTACATGAACATACATGTCTGTGTTAAGATGAATTCCTACTTAAAGCCATATTCTCCCAGGGATTTTCTGTAATTTTGATCAAGCTTCCAAAGCCATACAAACTCTGTCTCCTCTTGGCACCTACGTTTCTAAAGCTGTGCTAAGTCATTGCAATGGTTGTTGCATCTTCATGGCAACCTGGGAATAAATAGCCACTGCTGAATTGTGGAGATAAGAACTGCACATCCAACACTGAATCAGGGCCGCAGTGTTTAAAGCCTGTGCTCTGTGCCGCTCTCCACAATGAGGGCCAGCAGGATCTCTGACATTTGGCAGAAGCACCCAAAAGGGAGGGCTCAAGGAGTGAAATGCTACAGCAGGGAGGGAGCAAAGAAAGGTCACCAGGCAGCTCTCAACAGAGGGAAGCCTGGTGCTGAGTTTTGGCAAAAATGTTAAAAGAATGCATTGCCAAGATCTCTTCTACCCCCAAATCACTTTGCATTTTCATGCATGACATAGGAACTGTAATAATGATATGACTTGCACAGAAAAAAAAATCATCTCATTTTGCTTTCATCTTTCTCCCAGCAGGCAGCAGTGGGAGGCAACACAATGACTAATAGAGTATTCAAAGAGGGCACTGTAGTTCCATTTGAGGAGGAATGCCACTTGCACTCTTCATCCGTTAACTTAAATGGTGCCATCTCTGAATGGATGGAAGCCTGCAATTCCACACAATTGGGTCAGCAGTCAGACCTCCACTGAGCACAGGGGGACACACAGTGACATCGACTGGGAAACTCGGTGTCCATTGGCCTTTGCCGAAGCAAAGGTGATAGTAGTCCCACAAGCCCACACTGCTGTTAGACAGTGTGCATGCTGAATCTCAAAGTCACCAAACAAGAAGTCACCTAGTTTTGAGGGACAATTAACTCTGGGGTTATTCTTTCACATCCAATGGGATGCTTTTCTGAATTGGATTTGAACTTAATAGGATCCATTTACACATTCAAACGTTGAGAACTTCAAAGCTTCAAATCCTTATCTAGAACTAGTTTCATAGCAGACACAAATTGAAAGACAAACATCAATATTTGTTTTTTCCAAGATGTGCAGAAAAACACACACACAAATGTCTCTGTGATGTAGAGACATCACTGTGAGAGCAACTGAAATAACACCATCTCTGACTGATTCATACACAAGCTATTTATAATACACAAAGAAACAAACTCAATCTATGCATCTAAAAATGTTTTGCAATGTTTGCTCTTGATTTTTGTAAGTCTAGTTTCATAAAGAATGAACATCACCTTCTGCCACTCACTCCTCGTCCCACTCTTTGCCAGGCTTTACTCTTATCTCTGTTCTCATAAATCAGGTGACCACCAGTGGAAAAATACCTTCCTATAAATGGCAGAAATATTGGATAATTGGAGCTAAATCTGTGCATGTATGTGTATACCCAATAAAATACACCAAATGAACAGGTAAAGACCTCAACCTGTCCAAACCCATGAAAAATAAAAGAGCAGTCTACATAGTATTTATATCAGAGCAGTGCATTGCACTCAGCAAAGATTCTATGTCTGAGTGCATAAAGCAAGACATTTTTTAATTACTAAAATCAATTGAGATTTTTATCTTCTTTCTAAAGTATTCCATAGAACAGGCTACTGGTCAGCAGGTAGATATCAATGGGGATGTAGATATTGGCAGGTGGATACATACCTTAATTGTGGATGTGTGCGCTCCAGGGTATTCTTTTTCTTCCAGTGTTGACCATCTTTCTATAAACTTAGATACCAGGGAATCGTCATAGTCCACTATCTGAAATCCAGAGACGTTTGCGCCTCCAAACTGAATTTTTAATAGGTCTCCATCCGTAAATCCCTAGACAGAGAATACATTTATGTCCAAACAGAACCTGACATTTATCAAATAACTCTGTGCCTTGTAGATTTTACAAATGTCAAATGATGTATGAAGGATGAAAAGCCTATAGCAAATGTTTCATGTATTTTCCAGCCAATATTCACCAGCATCTAGCATAGCCTTGGCATCATAGTGGGTCCTTAATCCATGATTGTTTATTGGTGGTACATACATAAGAGTTTTCTATTTCATGGAAAAGAGCTGCGTTTTATTTATTAAATCTACCACAAAGCACCTCCGGTAACTTAGTAATGAGTTACGGCTCCATGAGCTCTAACACTATTTATTCCTATGATCTGAGTTGGTTCCTCTTTTCTTCTACTCTGCAGCTGTGACCCTAGTGGCCCTTCACTGCTTTTCTTAGTAGTTCCTCTGTTTCCTGGATCACTTTTCTGTCATTATTTACTCCTCTCTTCTGCTATAGTCAATTTCCTCAGACATACTGAAGGTAAACTTTTTGAGATGTTGAATGTATGAAAATACCTTCATTTTGCTCTAACATTTAATTAGTATTTTGACTGGGCATAGAATTTTAATTCAAAACCCTCATTATATAAAGGCATTGTTCCACTAACTTTCATTATTTCTACTGAAAAATGCAATTTTATTATTTATTATTTTTTAGATGTGATCTGCTTCATACATCTGCCCTCTTCCCACTAACCTGAAATCTTTAAAATATTCTATTTAACTAAGTGATTGCATGATGATTTTTTAAATAGTGTATCTCATTTGTGGAATATAATGAACAACATAATCTGATGAATAAAAATAGATCCAGAGACAGAGAAGCATTAAATAGACTGACAAACCTCAGAAGGAAGTCAAGGGAGAGTGGGTGGAGGGGGTAGAGACCAATCAAAGGACTTGTATGGATGCATATAAACTAGGAGTGTGAAGGCACAAGCAGGAGATAGAGGGGCAATGGGGAGATAAAGACACATATGTAATACTTTAACAAATATATATAGCATGTACTCAATGGTCAGATTTTTGTCATTCATTATAGGAAATTTTTCTGAATGTTTCTTTGATAATTTCCTTCCCCTATTTTCACTATTACATCAATCTAAATGCTTATATTCAATAACACTGCTTTATATTATATTGTTATTTTGTTAGATTTGTCTGAAAGATTTTCTCGACTTTATCCTTAAAGTCATTAAATTTTTACTTTCTTTAGAAAAAAATAAGTAAACTTCCAGGGCTCTTTCTTATTCTCTAACTTTTTTCTTTCCCAAGCATCCTTTTCTTTTTATAGATTATACTAGAGCAATGGTTGGCAAACTGCAGCCCTTGAGTTTTTAGCAAAGGCCAGCTTAGGAGTACCCTAATCAAGTTAATAGCAATGTATCTACCTATATAGTTTAAGTTTAAAAAATTTGGCTCTCAAAGGAAATTTCAATTGTTGTACTATTGATATTTGGCTTTGTTGACTAATGAGTTTGCTGATCACTGTACTAGAGGCCCAATGCATGAAGATTCATGCAAAAATGGGCCTTCCCTTGTTGCTGGCACTGCCTTCACTCTGGGTGCAGATGACTTTCCTGCTTCCCATGCTGCCGAGAGTGGCTGGGGTGGTGCAGAACACATGTGACGTCCCATGCTGACGACGCAAGCGCCCCACCCCAGCCCCTTGGTGCCCATATATGCAAATTTATCCACTATCTTTGTTGTGTTAATTTGCATACTCCTGATTGGCTGGTGGGTGTCACAAAGGTATGGTCAATTAGCATGTTACTCTTTTTTTAGGCAGATATTTTCTCTTATTTCTGTTCAGATAATCACTACATTTTTAAAAAATATATTTTATTGAGTTTTTACAGAGAGGAAGAGAGAGGGATAAAAGGCTAGAAACACCAATGAGAGAGAAACATTGATCAGCTGCCTCTTGCATATCCCCTAATGGGGATGTGCCCGCAACCAAGGTACATGCCCTTGACTGGAATCAAACCTGGGACCTTTTAGTCCGTAGGCCAACGCTCTATCCACTGAGCCAAATCGTTTTCGGCCTCACTACATTTTTAAAACATTTTTCTTGTGATTCTGGTTTGCCCTGTGTCCATGTATTGGATCCATCATAGCAAATACTTTTTCTCAAATATCTGGTTATGCTTGGTTATTTAATAGTAAAATACTTGAAATTTCTGTGTGCATGAGGGAGGCTTACTGAGTATGCTTTACTGAAAGGTAGATGGGTGGGGTAGATAGCAATGCTTATTGTCAATATTTGAAGAGTTGAAGAAATGAGAAAAGGATCCCATTATGGACCGCATCTTCATCACTTTATGTACTACAAGTTATCCTTTTAAATGCTATATCAGGAACTTACAGCCTAAGCAAGTATTCAACAATTGCTGAGGAAAGTAACAAAAAATGTGAGGATTTTTCTGTTGCATAACTGCCAACTTTAATACTCATCAGACCCTGGACAGAAAAAAAAGGGGGCATTCTTAATCAATAGTTTGGAAGGTGAAAAACCCTTCAAATTTGGAAAGCATTCTGCAATCTTAAATGTCAGTGAAATTTTCAAGTGTTCTCTAATTTCTCAGAAACTGAGACTCACTACAGATTTTTTTGAATTTACTGATTCATCAGAAATTCCATATGACAAGGATACCAAGTATTCAGATCAGGAAAAGCAAAATTTGAATTCAGAGAAAAAAATTGGATAGGTTTCTTCCTAGAAGCATCCTAGCTGCATGAACTTTCTTTTTCTTTTAAAAACATTTTGCTTTGGGCACTCAAACGCTTCTTTCATTTTTCATAGTGTCAGTTATCAACTCTCAAATTGATTAGCCACCTTCTGTCATTATTTCTCAATGTTCCAATAAAATCTTCTCCATCTGGACATTTTTAAAGATTGCAGCTTTCAATGTGGCTGTGTGTTGTTCATCAAATGGCAGAATCCACACAGGGAACTGACTGTCCAGGCTGTTTTCTGCTCAGAAATTTGGTTCTGAAGAGACTGGATGTAGAGCTAGTCTATTTAACTCTTGCTTCTCTAGTAGGGGGTGATTTAGGACCTACAATATTATATTATAAGGATAAGTTCTAATGAATTTTTATAGTAGTTAGACATTGCATTGCCAAACAAAAAAATTATCTTGAACAACCAATTTCTCCCAATAACATATGGGTTTGAGTTTTAATATTCTAAATCACTGGTGTCACTTTCTAGTAAAAATATTTATTAATTATAAGTTTGTAATTTATCTTCTCTTATCTCTTTACTACTAGAAATGTTTTCTCATGTAACAATCTAATAGTCCAGACTAAGAAATAAACCTGCATTGGTATAAATATGCAACTTTTTCAGGGTCCTATTATGCTATTTAGAATAATCTCTCATTCTCTCCCTCTGTTCAACTTTTTCTATTTTTCCTGAGATTTGGGAGGGATGATGTTCTCAAGCATATAGAATTGTACTTATTAAAATAATACAAATCTTGGTGAAAGTAAAGCTTTAAGCTTATTTTATTGCTGATATAAAAGGTATTTAAAAGAAGAAAATATTTCAAGAAGTAGATACAATTAACCACTTGGACATTCAATACATTCTTTGATAGGAATCATAATGAAAATATGATTAGCTATGGGAAACCAACTTTCATCGTGTTGCTTATACAGCAAGTAGTAAATAATAAATAAATAATACTTAATCTTTATTTCCAGGTTTAATTTTTACTGAGACATTCTACCAAATGTTCATTTACTTTGACTATCACATGTGCTAAACATTTTAAAGGAATGGGCAGCCCAAATCAGTTTGGCTCAGTGGATAGAGCGTCGTCTGCGGAGTGAAGGGTCCCAGGTTCTATTCTGGTCAAAGGCATGTACATTGGTTGTGGGCACATCTCCAGTAGGGGATGTGCAGGAGGCAGCTGGTTGATGTTTCTCTCTCATCGATGTTTCTAGCTCTCTATCCCTCTCCCTTACTCTTTGTAAAAAAATCAATAAAATATATATTTAAAAAAACAAAGTTTATAAAATACAGTGACAGTAAGATACAAGGGGATATTGGGAGAGTTAAATTTTATATATTTTTAAAAATTTTCCTGTAGTTAAAATACATCTTTTAAGACAATTTATAAAGCTTGTCAAATACTATTCTATAATTTATTATAACATTTATAATAATAAATTGATTAAAATATAACATTATAATAAGAAGAAATTGATTAAAAATATAAAGTGGGAAGTAAATCCAAACATAAAATCAGAAATATATTATCACCAAATCAATCAACACAATCAAATATATTTTTATGAATACTTTTGATAAGTGCTGGCTGTTCAAAAGTTTTTAATTAATAATAGAAATCTTCATTAAAATTATTAATTCACCTACCAGATTTGCAATGATGTAATGATATCCTTTAACATGTTTTCCAATAGTAATAACCTAACACAGATAAAGAAATAATAAATATTAGTAATGTAAATGTAAAATTATTAACATAATGACCTGACTCAGAAAAAAATGAAATAATTAACTTCCGGTTTTTTTGATATTCCATAATAAGTCGTATTTGATAAAATATAACTATCAAACCCAGATAATATTTTTTTCAGGAAAAAGTAACAGTACATTTTAGTGCCTAATAGATGTTAATTTTAAAAATCAATAACTGAACAAAAATACTGAAAATAAGGCCACAAGATTTAAAGAAATTTAAAAACAAAGACATGTTGAATTCATATCACAATTTTACTCCAATTTATAGCTATGCTTTTTGTCCTTTCAATGAAACATTAAACAGCTAAAATCAACATCTGAGATTTCGTATTCACACATCTACATTCAAAGATAATCACACAGAGTTTATAGTCATACATAAATTTAAAACAACTATTAACAAGCATATAAATGAATTATTTTGTGGATCTATAAAATAATATTCCTATCTTAAAAGTCTTGAAATGTTTATAGCTTAATTCAAATAAACATTATTTCTAGCTTGAGGCAGCAAAGTATCAGAGAAGCTATTTATCCATAAATCTAAGTCTAAAATCAATAGCAAAATAAATGCATTACAGAACAAGTGGCTGTTTCAGTAATGCTGGAACAGTTTTGGACTTTGTTGAATCAATTTGACATTTCACTGATCTATATCAGTTACAATGGCCATATTGTAGCCCTGATACTTGGATATTCAAGTGTAATTTTTATTTTTAAGAAAATAGTTACACAATGGAAAGCATGAAATACCAGGGCAATAGACAAAATTTCCAATCATTAACCTCCCTTCTTGATTGCTGTTTTGGTGGCTTCCTTTTACTTTTAGCATAAAAGTCAAAATCCTTCATATGCTACAAAATCCAATGGTCTTTCAAGCTTCTCTGGGCCCACTTTTCCCTCTTTCTACGAACAGACTTCTGGCCCCTCAGTATTTTTGTAACAAAAAAGGCTTATTTCCATTTGGGGCTTCACACATTCTGTTTCTTCTACTTGGAGAATTCTCTCCACCACCATATCCTTTGTCTTGTTCCATCTTAAGGTACAATGAGTCTCAGTGCAATGGAATATCCTGGAAGACTTCCTTGGCCTTGTCCCAGGCAAAGTCAGGTGCTCCATTAGCAATGCATTTAGTTAAAGAGCAAGGGCAAAATCCTAGGAAGTATTTTACCATGTCACTTTCATAATAAGTGGTAGTTGTTTGGAAGGGAGTTAGAACTAACATTACTTTCTAACCTGTTTTTTATGTAACACAACTAAATTGGCTATTCTAAAAAAAAATTGAACCTCTATATTGAAAGGTGGATTTTGAAGACCAGATATCCTTCTAAATGAAAAAAATATATATTAATTAGCATCAGCTGAATTGAGGTGACTATGTCTTTCGTATTTCCTACTGTATCTGTTGGTTCTACTTACTGTTTAAAGAAAAAATAGTATAAATGGTACTACCAGCAGTCCCTACTTGAATTTAGTGTGAAGAGGAAGGAAGGATATGAAAATTGATTAGCCCTACTTCTATATAAGAATTAGTGTTGGCCATACTAACAATCACATATTTACTTTATAATAACCATTAGCATTATTTAACAATAGAAAGCTACATTAATTTCCTAATGTTTTTCATGACTGTGTTTCCTACTGAAATCACTAGAAATAAGTGTCTCCATGTTTCATTAAATGATAAAAAACCTCATAATCTAAACAAAGTTTAACTCTATTACTAACTTTAAGCTACTATGAAAACAAAATTTTGTCACATCTGAGCTCTCTTAATTATTGATAAAATGATGCAGTAAATAATGTTTTATTGAAATATACTTTACCAACTTTTTGCCTGGTAAATTCTATTCCTGGAAGGCCTTCCATAATCTCCCAGTCTAAATTACCTCTTTTTGTAATTTCATTTATAGTATGTACCATTATCATAATGATGCATTAATTTCTGTAGTTATATTAATACCATGAATATTCACCTTGATGGGGACTTGCCTGATTTAACATTACTGCTTTGAATTTACTCCAGTGTCTGTCCAGTAAACATTAGACACTTGGGAAAATTTAGTGAATAAATAAATGAGTGAATCTACACTAGCCAAATGTTACACATAGAGATGACCTTTATAGATCATCCCATCCATGTTAAGATAGGTATTTCTTCCTCCATGTTCTTAGACCACATTATCACTGATAATATTGTAGAATTATATATGTACATTTTTCTTCCCTTCTAAACAATGAGTTCATGGACACCACTCTTTCTTACCTTTCTTTGTTTCCCTCATTCCAGATGCAGAGGATGTCCTCAATAAATGTTGAATAATGCAACCATCCATTGCATACACTAATTTAACATATTCAAGAGTGTTTTGTGAAAATACAAATCATATATATGTGCGAAATACCCTGTACATTTTGAATGGATGTCCAAATGGTTATTTATTTAACCATGAAAATATTGCTTCTAAACATTCCATTCCATGTCTTCCGAGTTTATCTTGTAGTTTCTCTCATCTAATTTTAGAAATAATTATTTTCATACAGGCTTTCCCAACATTTATTATGATAACTTAGGGCTACTTAAAATGTTAAAGCAAACACTAATAGCTAATATTAAAATTCAGTTTTAATGAGAACCTCCTATGAAATTCAAATGAGTTTTTGAGGTTCATGTTTGAACAAAAGACCTCCAGGTTTAAAACAATCCCAAATTTATCTCCTGAAACAGTAATCAAGATTTTTCTAGTAAAATGTTCACCTCTCTGGCATACAACATTTAGTTACGTCATATAAGAAGATAGCATTCAATATCTTATGAAAGATCCATTTATTACATATCATTAAAGCTTCATCAACATTTATATATGCAAAATGATTTGTGTTCTACCAACTAGTGAATCTAATTGTTTTCTCAAAGCCTAAGAACTCTAATAAATGCATACTCAACTCTGTTTTTCTTCTAAACATGTATTATTCCAAGGAAGTGGCAGCCATCCTAATATATATGTATAAAATGGAGAATAACTAGTTCAATGTGTATATATGTATATGTTTGTGTATTATTTTATATATCAACTACATTACAGCCATCTAAATCAGTTAGAAATCACACACACCAGCTAAGAGGCAGATGCCCTGTGAATGAGGTCTTGGTAAGTCATAATGCTGCTTTGCTACCATCTGTCATCACTTACCCTTTCTATAACCATAGTGGATTAAATTTTTCTCATAATATATTACTGCATGGCTTTCTGTCCTAAAATATCTTAAAGCATCTGTAGTTCTGGTATCATCTTACCCCTTAAAACATTCCAAATGAAAATACTACTTTGCATGCTTCTCAACAGTGAACACAAACTGAATGTCTTCCTTGTATATTTTAATTTTATAGATTAACAGTTTTAAATTGACACAAAATCTCTCTCATAGGGTGGAAAAAAATCACTTCTTGGAAAAATAAATACATGCCTTTTCTGAAGACATAAACCCATTTAGACAACAAGACATAGTTAGCATACAGTACTGTACCCTACTGTTTGAAGTAATCCACTGTATCATCAAAGAATTCATGAATTATTTACTTTTCTCCCAAAAACCAGACTTAATACATGTCTATTTCTTTATCTCTAAGAAATTCAACAAAATTTAAATTTCCAATTAAAAACATCAAGGTTTAGAGCAACACTAATGTAAAATGTAAAAGTTCAGAATTAAATATCAACTGTGTTTCATGATCAGTCTGATGTGTCAGCATAATTGAAGACCATCTGCTATTGCTAACGAATATTGGAGATAATTTAATTGATGATCTTTGCCGCATCCTACGTAAACCATAAAGTAAAAACTGCTGTTCAAGCACCTTCCACAAATACTCGATCCAAACGCTGACAGGGCATGCATATTCTATATTTAGGACCATTAGAAAAAAGAGAATAGCAAACCTGGTCTACAATGTCGTTTACTTTATCCCGTTCACAGTCCAGGATTACACGCCGTTCCTTTTTTAACTCTAGATCTTGAAAAAGTGATCGGTAGGTCTCATCTTTCTTGTCATTGTTAATATTTCCCACATTGATAGCAGTCACTTGCCATTTCTTTTCAGCAGCAGAATCCAGCACAGCTTGCAGTGTTGATAAGCCTAGGAAGGAACAGAAAAATGATGACTGATAAAGATACTCAAAAAAGATACTAAAAAAAAAAAATACCCAGTTTGCTGTGTTGTAAAATTGACAGCAAACACATATACACACACAGACACATATGTATATACATATATTTGAGAGAGAGGGAAGGGGGGAGAGAGAGAAACATTGGTTTGTTGTTCCACGTATTTATACATTCATTGGCTGATTCTTGTATGTACTCTGACTAGAGATTGAGCCTGTAACCAACTGAGTTACCCAACCTGGGGGAGAATATATGATTAAGGCTGATATTTTTGGGCAACTAAACTGATGTTGACTTTTCTAAAAAGCTACAGTTATGATCTTGATAAATTTCTACTTGTTTCCATGCCACATCACATTTTATCTAAATGCTATTGTTCTGACTAAAGGGACCTAGTATGGAGGGACCAGTATCCCCTTCTTTTAGCTCTCTCTTTTTTTTGGGGGGGTATTATTAAAGCATAATGTCTCTAATACCTCTGGTTTGAGGAAAATCAAAAGACATTACAAAAATTTCTTCCTCTTAACAGAGTGGAAGAAAACGTTTCATGATATATGACAGTCTATCATGCAGATTGATATCTTGAAGAAGTTGAGTACATTTTCAGTGAGGTGAATCTGTGTGTGTCCATTTGAGTCTAAGAATCAATAATCTCTCTTTCCTCCTATATTTATACTCATAAGTTGTTTTTTCCTCAGCCTTCTGTTTCATGTTTTGTTATTGGGATTAAACCCATTGAGATTAACATGTTCACTTATTAACCAGATGGTAGAATTTAGCTTTCTAGCACAGATTTGTTATAATTTACTTAACTTCTCACATGTAAAACCATTTTACTGCTTATTAGTAACTGTGCTTATAGTATCATATACCTTAAAACCTGACTCTTATTTTTAATATCCATATATTACTTCATTTGTAGGATTGAGGAGAACAACTTGGGAATTTATTTCCTTAAGTTCAATGTGCAGTTTAGCACTTAGAAAGCCAGTACATAAGCTGTCTTTCACATGACTGCAACAGCCAACTCAAATCCATCATTTCTATTAATAGCTTAATGAACAACACAAAGCTTCAAAAAGAATTCAGAATCATAACATTATCTTCCTGATTCCAAAAAGACTTGCATCTTTCCCAAAAGAATATTGATCCCTTTTTACCTTAAAAATGAGATATTACTAAAGTGACCACATCGCTCTGTAAGTTTTATTCATGTACTAAACTTATTGAAATTTATTTATTATAGTAACAGTATATGTACATTCTAAATGTTGTTGAAAACTACTTGAAAACTACTTGATACTTTAAAATGATACTTTAAAAGTATCATTAAAAATTATATATATTCCATATAGGCCAAGAGTATATAAGTTGAGCCTAGAACATCTTGTGATATCAGAAAGCAAGGAAGCTCTCCAGAACTACCAGGATTTTGTCAAAGGACTTATGAGTCAATTTGGTAAGGATCATTTTAAATAAAGATGAGGCAATATGAATATCAATAAAAAATAATATCTACATAACACTTTAAATACATAATTTATAATGATGTATTTGTAATGATAAATATTTGGTTGCCATTGTAAATGCTAGAAAGCCAAGTTATTACTTTGAAAATTGGTAAATGAAGAGAGACAAGCATTTTCCTGCCTTTCCTATATGAAGTACACTCAGGATGATGGTTTTTCCTCATTGGAGAGACTTCAGCTACTACATGATAAATGAATATAGATTTAGAATTGTAACAACTTTGTAGCACCTAGTGAATTAACGTATCAAAGCAACAATCATAACTACTGCTAATAACTCAAAGAGACACGACAAGTTATGTGTCTCTAAATGGGAATATTCAACCCATCTATGAAGTATTTATGTTTAAAAAAAAGTGAATTTGGATCCCATTGAGCTTCTAGATCAAACTACCAATTTATATGAAATATAAGGCAAAGAGTAATATGCTAAACACCATCTTGCTGTTCATCAAAATTCAAACAGTAAACAACTCTATATCCATATATATAAAAGCCTAATATGCATATTGTACCCACAAGAGTTCAACCAGGAGACCGTTTGCTATGACATGCACTGACCACCATGGGCAGGGCAGAACGAAGGAAGCCAGAAGGCCCTGATACTAGCCAGGCCTAGGGACACTACCTGTGTACACATTTTGTGCACCAGGTCTCTAGTTACATTATAAAAGCCTTAAGCTTGAGATATATGGACCTTATATTTATCCTGATTCAAGAAAATTCTAAAAAATGAAAATATTAAGGAATTATTATATTATTATTTATATATGATGATATTGTGGTTATGTTTAAAACAAGAATTATTTTTCAAAATACACATTGAAATATTAACGAATGGAATGACATGATGTCAGGTATTTGCTTCAAAATAACAAAGGCAGAGAGGGCTATAAGTAAAATAAGATTTCTCATATTATGGTCATTAATTAAGCTTGGTTAAAAGTTTGTGGTGGACTTTATATTATCCTCTCTATTTTGTTATTTAAAATATTTCATAATGAAAATGTAAAAGAAATTACTTTTATTTCAATTGGAAAATTTGAACCATAAATTGTCTTGAATTTTGTGTTTCTTTGGTAAAATTAGTTTCCTCTATCCAGTTTTGTAACAGAAATTATAGTATAAATAAGAATTGCTCAAGAGAAAATTTATAGAGATAAAACATCTTTTAATAACTTCATAGATCACCTGTGATTCACCGTAAGTAAATTAAATCCTCTTTCTGTTTTCATTAATGAAGATAGAATGCATAGCTGGTCATCATGATAAATTCAATAGCTATCAAAACAGTTATTAACTCTATCCAGTTTTCTTTCCGAGTATAAAAAAGAAAAGCTAATTTTCTAAACATCTTCTACTGTCAAGATTTTACTTTTTCCACATTCCAATCCTTATGCAACTTTTTCATGTCACCTCCTTAAAAACATTACACCCAAAGATGATGTTCTATATGCTATCCACATATTATTATCTATTATTTAAAAGTGGGCTTCCTTTCTTCTAGAAAAGAATTTTACTTCTTAGTTATTTAATTATTAATTTTACCACCTACTGAAATAAGTTTCAAGTGGTGATGTTCTTGACATTCTGCCCTATTTTTCAACATATGTTACAAGGAAGTTTAAATATGACAATTGGAAATTATCAAGTGATATTTCTTAACCTAATATTTATTGGCAGTTCATCTTGTCAAAGAATATGGTATATAAAATCAATAAGAATTAATTTAAAGTAATGGCTGGGTTTCAGACTCATTTATTCTATGAGTCAAAAGGAACTTAGTTGATGTGGATCCTCTGTGATTAAAACTCTCAGAATTAATACTGTGTAACCTATGAAACTGAAATAAATGACTTTCATCTATTTAAGAAGCTAAACTGCTTAAGTAATGTATATCAGACTTGATGAACTTAATTTCATCAGAAGACACTGAACAACATTAAAACATCTCAAATGACAGTGGAAATAAGTCACACACTTTGGTATGATAGGACTCAGGATTTGAAGAGATTGCTGATGCATGTGTTTAGTGAATCATACTCTTAGATTTCTTTCTTCAATAACCCTCTCAAACTCTCTACCCCTTCTCAGAAGGAAAAGCTGGTTACTATCTTGTGTTTTTAACTTTAAAATTCACTGAAAATGCATGTTATAAATAATAAATGCATGTTATAAATATTGAAGAGAAATTAAGTTCTTTTAAATGTAACAAACACATGCTCTTGGTACCATACTCTAATTAGGGAAACAAGTGTTACTTGGGATCTGTCTCTTTCCCTTTCACACAAACAAGATTAACATAGAAGTATCTTTATATTCTGAATTGGGAAAGACTAGTATTTATAAACATGTATGGACAGTGGGGGTTCTATAGGAATATTGGCTTATTTAAAGCCATTAGTAGGTAATAATTATTCAGCTCTAATATCTATATTACTATATATTTGAGTTATTATTGCTGGATTACTTAGAAAAAAAACTTAAAATTCAGTTGTTCATATTCTATACCGAAAAATCCAGAAAATTAACTGTTTTTCTTAGTAAATATGTTCAAGAAAAACATCAAGAACATTATAAGAGTTGAAAATTAGCCATTCAAGTCTAAGAATTTAGAATTTAAAGAATTGTTGGATTACATTACTTCCTCTTATGCCTATTTTTACTAGACAAGTTATAGCTGTATAACTTCTATCTTAATCTCCCTAAAACTCTAAGTAAGTAGCAGTAGTTCAGTCTCATTGTGAGCTAATAACATTATAGTTCAGTCTCATTGTGAGCTAATAACATTATGAGAGGTTATAGAAAATCCATCAGCCTAAAATCAGGTGAATCCAAATGTTTTAGTTTGGACATTAATGGGTGGAATTAAAAAATGATTACTGCAAATAGGTATATTTCATTCAGACCATGTCTTCCTCCTTAAAAATATTTTCTTTGGTCCATTAAAAATTCATTGGCCTTATTCATCTTTCAGGCACAGAAATTAATATTCATGACCACTAAATCATGGCAGCATGCCTAAGCCATATTAAATTAACATATATTTCTCCCTTGACTTTTTCAGGAACATCTGAAAAGAAAAATTATTATTTGGAAGAATTTTTATTCTATGCATGACGTCTTCTTGGTTCTGAAATAAAAGTGTTTCCCTTCAGGAAAAAGAGTATGGCTCAAAATTAAAACCAAGACTATGGCTCAAAATTAAAACCAAGACATGAAGATATAAAACATTAGTTCTGATTTTTCCTACTGTCTGTAGAAATATATTACCTTACTTTATTGACATTAAACTGATAAAAACACATTTTATTGAGTCTGGTTCTAATTTAGTATATTCAAAAATAATTCTGTATTTAATTCATGTTAGTCTATAGTTCAAAATGTATTTAAGGTCTATCTACCAACTCTCTATGGAGGAGTAATATACAGTTTTTAGAAAGAGCACTGGGTCATAAAGTATTGCCAGGCTGCTGCCACATGTTTGGATAAATGGAAGACACCAGCAGTCCTAAAGGTCACACAGCAACCCTTGAACATTTCAGCAGTCCTCTCACCCATATTTGAAATAATCAAAGACGACCTGTACAAAGATCAGGAGACATCTACGTTCTCATTTGTTTACAACTGGGATGCACTTACTGGACTGTGGCTCAACACTGGATGTCATGAGTAACTGGATGCAGGGAAGGTTTTATAGTTAAGAGCAGTGCAAAGCAGCATGGAAGCATTTTAAGTCTTAAAATTTTATCTAGTTTGTATTCAGGGCAGAATGTTGGAGAGCCATTTTCATGCTAGCGCCCTCTGCTGTTCCAAAGTACATCAGTTATTTTATTTAGAAATTTAAAAAAAAATTAAATATGGTTACCTGAGTTAGACCATCAGAAAATAAAGCTTATGAAATACTGAAAATAAATTTAAAAGCATACCATTCCAGAAAAACAGACCAAAATCTTTTAAAATTGAACCATGCAGACATGTAAGTTGAGAGATGAAAATTATGGGATCTATTTTTAAAAGCATGTGTACTATGAATAAAAAGAATAAAAATATGTTCTCAACTCAGGTAGTGCTAAAATAAGAGGGTGCTTCCCTGAAATGTAAAAACAAATAAATAACAGCTTAAGAACCAAAGGAAAGAAACAATGTCACATGATGAATGCATAAATAAACGTTAATACATAATGACAAAGCTATAAAATTATTATAATAAGAATTTTAGATAGAAAAAATCCCATTTCCATGAGCCAAGTGAAACGCTAAGTAAAGGTCAAATCTTATACAAGTGTTTTGAGTCTTAAACACTTATCCCTGAAAATTGTTGCAGATGAAAAGCCAGTGCAATATTCTTCATATTAAAACATGAGCAGCTATTTAAAAAACACTTAAAAATGTAACAATAAGGTCATTTTTTGCTTTACTATATAATTACTTAATATCATAACTCTCATTTCTCTCGACAATGCACTTGAACTCAAATTCATTTGTATAATTTAATGACTAGAGATTATCTCATCACTTAAATTTCATTTACTAATTCTAAAGTGTTAATAAAATCATTTTAAATGTCTCGGGTTCTTTTCACAAGTACATAAATCCAACCCCCTTCACCACATCATTCCTCAGATCTTTCCTTTCTTTAGTCTCTCTCCTTAAATACTCGAGTTTCTTCTTTTCTATTTATTTCAGCTGTTGTCTACTTAAATGTTCTACAAAGTTCAGTTTCATCTAGAGGGCACAGTGAGGGCAAAGTGTGTCCCTAAAGTAAAAATACACCTTCAACTTTGTGAAACAGTAAAGAGAATTCATCTTCTGATCCTTGGAATTAGCAAGCAAGATGCAGCAGGATCTAATATCATCGCAAACTTAAAATACACAGTCTAAACCCATTCACTTATTACTACTATTTATTGACTATCAACTCTGTCCCACCATTATCTTAAGCACTGTGTGTACAATTAAGAACTGTATATCAGTGTTCTGGTCCTGTTTGGGCATTGCTTTCCTGAGGTTTATAGCCATATCTTACCTAATAATAGATGAACATGTAAATCAACTGTACCTCCACTACACCAGCAGCCAATCAGAAGTGATATGCAAATTAATCCAATAAAGATGGTGGCTAATTTCCATACACAGCCACCTAGTGATGGGGTAGGACACTTGTGTCATTGCCATGGTGACAATGGTGTGTTTCTGTCCCATCCCATGTCTCTCAGGGCCTCTGGCAGTGTGGAGCAGAAAGAGGTGGCTCCTAGAGTGGAAAGAGGCAGCTCTGAGGCCTGAGTGGAAAGGGGCTGGGCTGGAATGGAAAGGCAGTGCCACCAACCAGGGAAAGGAAAGCCCTTTCTAGCATGAATCTTAGTGCATCAGGCTTCTAGTCTTAAGTAAAAAGCATAATCCTTAGCCTGTATGATTAAAACAGTCCCTGGAATATAGTGGAAGCTCATTAGCACTCCTTAGGTGAAGGAATGAACACCATTATTAATCATAAATTGTGATAAGTACTATGTAGGAAAAGAAGAGATTGCTTTGAAAGAATAACAGTATGAAATGCATCTCCCTGGAAATGCTATATAAATAGATATGAAGGGAGATAAAGAATTAGAGATGTATGCAAAGATTTGAGGTGAAAGACTGGTTCATCTGAAAAGTGAATGAAGGTTAGTTAGGTGGTTAGCTTAGTGAGTGGGCTGTACAGTAGGATAAACTGGCAGAAACCAGAGTTAAGGCTGTGCTAAGAATTTTCAAGTTTATATGCATTATTAAAGGTGTGTCCATGCAATTTGTGCCCGGGAATGGGAAGAGCATAGGAGAGTCCTTCAGGCACAGCTCTCCAATCCAGGAACCTTTGAATTGGGCCTAAATCGGCAGTCAGACATCCATCTTGCCATCTGGGGATGCTGGTTCTTAATTGCTCACCTGACTGCAGTTGCCTGATCACCCCTAACTGCTCCCCTGCCTGCCTGATTTTCCCTAACCACCTCTGTCTCGGCCTCCACCACCATGGCTTTATCTGGAAGATGCCCAGTCTAATTAGCATATTATTCTTTTATTAGTATAGATAATGAGAAGTCATTAAAGTGTTTTAAGCGAGGGAGTGATATGCTCAAAGAAGTATTTAAAAATGCTGGCTACTTTGTAGAACTGAGTTAAAGAAAAATAAGTAAAGAAATGGAGAGACAATGGAATAAACACATGACAGTGGCTTGGTCTGAAGTCAAGGCAATAAAAGAGTGTCTAGAGAAAAATATATATATATAGTTGGAAATCACATCAATAGAATGGAAAGCTGAAAGACCTAATGAGAATACTCCCAATTTCAGGTTAGTTTTATTAACATAATGGAGTAATCAAGGAGTTTAAAGAGTAAGAGGAAAGACTAAGATTTGTCTCAGTTCTATAAAGCTTTTTACCACAATTTAAAGTATGGTTCAGAATTATCCAGCACATTGGAGTCCATATTCACATTAAATAGTTCTGAGTTTTAGTTTTCCATTTGCCATGGGAAGAGCAAAGCTCTCCTTTCTCAAAGCCTGGCGAGAAGTTGTTGACAAGGCAAATTTTTCAGCTTGTATAGTGCTGACTCATTTTTCCACTGTCAGACTGGGAGGACGGGGCAGAGAATCAGACACCTAGCTTGAGCACTCCTGACTTAGGCCTCCTGCAGCAAATGACTACAAACTGATCAATGGAGAATTGACTGATGGCTGGCTCTCTTCCTGTCTTGCCTTGTGGGTTAATGAGGTGCCCTGTCTTGGTGGAAACAGGCTTCTCTTTTACATTTGAACCTCTAAATAGACCAGGAAGCAAGCTACTGAAGAAGAGTACTTAGGTACTCTTACAATAATGGGTCTTAACCCTTTCCACTTTGGGTATGGATACTCCTTCTAGAAAATTACATAAATGAACATGAGCACAAAATGTTCATACAATTTTAGGTAGTACACAACCCACAGACGCTGAATCGTGGACCCAGGGATGGTTGAGATATCTGGGATACTACAATATGTGAATCAGGCAGGACTGCTAATATTAAACTTCTCAACAATGGACATGGAAAGCACAGAAAGGACCACCCCCAAAATAAAAGTTATATAATGAGCCAAGACTCTATCCAATTAGCATGCTAATCAAGAACATCTCATTATAAACAATCAGATAGAATTGTGAAATAAACATGAATTTGGTGTCAGAAAACCTTTGGTCAGAAGGAACACTTACGGCAGAATCACGAGCAAGGCTTTACCTTGTATGAGATTTAGTAATCCCATTTTAAAGCAAAGTTAAATAGTAATTATAACTACCTGATAAAATGTTTGCACTTGAAAATATGTAATAACTACAAATTTCTGTAGCAGTTCTTATTTATGTGTTACTACAAATTTTACTTCAGTTTTCAAGGCAGTCACTTTACTGACCTTGAACTAGCAATCTAGTCACCAGAGTCTTAACTGCTGCTACCAGAAGGTTTTGTGTAAGTTACAGTGGGGCCTTGGGGACACAGCCTATATCTGTAAATTATAATTCACAATTATTTTTATTTTTATTCTAAATGTTTCCCAGGTTTTGAATTGCATTTTTCATTTACACAGAAAAATGAAACCATGTAACTCTTGGATTTTAATACAGCTAGGTAGCTCTGTCATGCCCCATATTAGTGTCAAGTTAGGCATTGAATTTGACCCATTATCAAGAGACAGGGATATTTTCACTTACCTCTGTCACTGTCATAGAGGTATGCAAACTTGTCCCACTGATAGTATTCAATCAAGCTAAGAAGAGCTCCTTTGAGGTCAGGTCTCATCTGAATAACGAATGGATGTGTGCCATCGGTTGGGAAGCTGGGAGTGATGAAGGAGACATGGAGCGTTCCACAAAATGATGTGATGGTATTTACAGACTTCTTGTCATAAAATCCAAAAATAGCATAGACTCCTCTTGAAAACTGGGAGCAGACTAGAAGAATAAGGAAAACAGAAAGGATGAGTTATCAAAATTGGCATACAATAATGGATTTACTTGCAACTTAATGCCCTTATATATAAAATACAAAATAACCAACAAATTAAAAGAAATACGGAGTTTATATCAATCAATGATCCATCAAATGTAGGAGCACTTATTTACTCAGCATTCTATTTAAAGAATGCAAAGAATTATAAAGCATTACAATAATAATTCTAGGTTTATGAAAATACTTTATTTTTTTAACAAACTATGTGAATGTAAACATATTTTAGGACAGCTTCATTAAAAAAAAAAGTTCAAGTAAAAATCATTAGTTATGAGAACAAACTATAGTTACAGGGGATTTATACATATTCATAACAACTCATTCCCTACAATATTGATTCCTTTAAAAGGCTTTGTTGTGCTAATACCAGAAGGTCAGTGTGATCATAAAGCATATCACCTACTGATGATGCAAACTTCTTGAAGAGAAGTTGGGTGCAAGACTTTCCATAATCCTATCAGCGGAGGGAAACCTCTTTCTCACTTATATCACTCGGTCAAGTAACAACTAAATGAAGTTAAGAACACTTAATTTTTATCTTTTCCATGAACTTAACTCATCCCATATGTTCTACTCAGACAAAACAAAGACTATTACATTTTTTTTTTTACCTAGGACCATCATTCTTAAGACCATATATATATTTGTAAGTTCCCATGGCTCACACAATTCCTTATCCTTTAACACTGTATTTCAGTGAATGGCATTATGACACTACCTTCCTCATGACTTATAGTCAGACCATCACTAAGCATTGCTCATTCTCATACCCAAGTGTACTAAAATGTGCTCCACTTATTTCTATCTCCATTCTGATCATCGTATAATAGTTCACTACCACATGCACTTACATTGTGCTTGCCTTGTGCCTGGCATGTTCTCTGGGACATTACCTCATTTATTTCTGATGATGACCCTTGAGGTAACAACTATTATTATTCCTAAATAATTGATAGAAAAATTGATACATAGGGAGACTAAGTGAATTATCCAAAGTCTCACAACTAGTATGTATGCTGTACTCAATCCTCAGCAACCTGGATTTAGAGTTGATGTTTTTAATTGATTATTGGAATACCTAGACAACTTTCCTCCTTCATCCAGTTATGCTCCTTCCATTCTATTCCCCACAATATCGTCAAAAGAAATGTCAAAACAAATCTAAACATATCCCGTTGAGAAGTAGGGTTTGCTTTTTCCAAGACTCATGCCCTGCAATGCCCTATGGAAATGATTCATTTTAAACACTCCCAGGGTTTAAGACCACCATTCACGTCAGCCAGATGGCTTTGAGTGAATGAATTCCTGATATTTTTTATTCTCAAGAATTGTTTCAATCCAAGGATACAAATCAGCTATTCGTGAACATAATCTAACAATTCAGAGCATAATATCAAAAACATATTTTTAAATTAATTAACCCCATTTAAAGGACAGGACCAATATTATTTTATTTCATTTCATCTCTTTCACAAAAATAGATTTGCTTTATAATTAAGAATTATGTAAAAACAGATTTGCTTAATAAGTAAGAACACTGCTAAAATATACACAGATTCTAGTAATTTTCAGGCAATAAATTGATAGGCATTAATATTTAGCAACTATTGTATGATACAAAAAAAAGAAAAGCAAGATTGGCTATTTGTTTGCGTATCAAATATTCATATTTTCCTTTAAATACTTACTAACCTTCAACTCATCCTCATTTTCCTAACACAATTTTCTAGGATTTCTGGGTTATATTTTTATAATAGTATACCAATTGAAATCTCCTTTATTACCAGTCTTCTGTAGAACAAACTCATGTATCTCAGAAAAAATAAATATATTTCTTTACATTAATTTTATACTTTAACATAAAAATGAGATGTTTATATTTTTGTCTTTGTCCAACTACAGAAGTTGAAAATAACTTTTAATGTGATTGACTACACTCATTTTTCATATACATTAAAAAGTCCTTCCATTGTGAAAACACATCTAGGAAAAATTTGTGGTAGATTCTTATTTTATACATGGATATATGTGTATTAACATGCATATCTTAAATCGTGAGTTAATTCAGGAATTGATGACTCCATATGGCACATAAAAGGGTGAAATTGCTACAGAGTTCTCTCTGGGTCTATTTCATTTTATTTCCTGCAGTGTTGGTATGTCAGCTAAAAACAAACAGTATAGAAAATACAGGCAGTGTTATTAACAAGGACTCCTCTCATTTTAAGTAAAATAGCTTCTGTGATAGGAATAGCAGCCACCGCATCAGCAGAATGCTTGATAACGGATGCCACTGTTTGAATGCACAGACAATCTTATAAAGGAGCCATATCTTCCATTTTCCATTTGTTTAGACTCTGGAGTGAGTTGTCAGGGGGCCTCCTGATTACCATGACCATCTGGAAGCATTTGGCTTTGGCCCAACAACAGGCCCACGCTGTACAAAACTTTAGAAGTTACCACAATTCTCCTAACTTATTAATAGAAGGCACTTTTCCTCCCTGGCAATTCGGCTAATTCTCCAATTAACAATTTTATAAAAATGGCCTTTCTCCCAACCCTCTTCCTTTATTCTTTATCTATTCCTGGCACATATTTAGTTTTCTATTTGTCTATAGCCTCTATTTTTCTAGATATTTCTTTCTTCATGTGCCTTTTCTAAACATACAAATAACTGCAATTTGGCCAAAATTGCTCATGTCAAACCTTATATTCGGCCAGACGCGGTCCTTTGTCCCCAACCATGATAAGAATTACTGTGATTTACAATCAAGAAATGCTGACTAGCCTTAGCTAGTGTTGCTCAGTTGGCTGAGCATTATCTCATGCACCTAAAGATTGCTAGTTCAATGCCTGGTCAGGGCACATACCCAGGCTGCAGGTTTGTTCCCCAGTTGGGGTGCATATAGGAGGCAAACAATCAAGTTTATCTTTCACATCAATGCCTGCCCCCTCCTCTCTCTCTTCCTCCCTCTTTCCCTCTCCTTCTCCCTCTCCCTCCCCCTTCCTCTCTCTGTAAAAAAAAATCAATAAAATATATTTTAAAAGAAATAAAATAATTGCTGGCTTGAACTAAGGTGTTTTGCTTGCCCAGTTTGCAGTGACCATCTCATGATTAAAAACCTAGTGCCATACTTATTAACACTCTATTCTCAAAATATTAAATTAGTTTTTGCACTCTAATACTGAAGTTCTCCTCAATATAGCAGTAATGCGGAGACATGACACTATTGATACACTACACAAGGAAATGAGTTCCTTGTTCTACTAATGTCATCTATAAACATCTGTTTTATTCTACTTTATTCATTCCAATATTAAGGGGAATTTACTATGGGAAAACAGCATTTCTATTAACCTGTTAACCGAGTGGGATGTATAAATACAACAAACTTACACAATATCGGGTACGGGGTAGGACATATGAATATCTTTGAAATATATGTTGCGCCCTGAAATGGGTGGGATTTCCGAACAACAAAGGTATTAGTCATCCATACATGTCTCGACATGAATTTAAGACACGGAGGGAATCAGTATAATTTCGCTATTGAGAGTGGTGGACGTGTTCTGGGTGAGCAGTGATGGGTACGTATTTACACTTACCTATCTATTTTCCTATTATATATTATTTATTTATATTTTTTATATCTACAACCTTTATATAATAAAAAACATATAAAATTGATCCAATCATCAATAATTTGTCAGAAAAGCTTAAAAGTTTTTTTGTATGTGAATGAGAAATATGCATAGATGAATCTTTTTATTATGGAAAGGGAATTTATCTTGGAACCAATATGTATCTACAAAAAGAGCTAGATGTGGAATGAAGTTGTTTATTTTGAGTGAAAGCCAATCTGGATACGTACAAAATATAATTTTATACACAGGAAAGGACACAAATTATGATTCGAACTACCCACAAGAAAAACAATCAATAAGAATTGTTTTGGAGTTAACATATGACTTACTGAATAAAGGGTATAGGATTTACTTAGATCATTTATATACATCAATTCATTTGGCTGAACTCTTAGGTCAAAACAATACAGACATTGTTGGAACAATGAGGATAAACAGAGTCAGAATCCCTAGTCAAATAAAAACAAAAAAATTACAGAAAAATGAACATATGTAAGAATCAAAGACAAACTTATGGTTTTAAAATGGAAGGATAAAAAAGACGTATTGATGCTCGGTTCTATTCATAATGACGAAAAGACAATGATTGAAAAGAGAGGAAGAAGGCAAGAAAAACCGAATTTGTCCTGGATTATAACAAGAATATGGGTGGTGTAGATTTGGGAGATGGGGGCGGCGTAGATTTGGGAGATGGAGTTATAGTGGCCTACATGGCTGCCCGTAATAGGGTAAAAAAAAATTTCTCTGATTAATTGATATGTGCTGCTTCAATGCGTATATTATATACAAAAAAGATAAAGGTCATTTGGATCAATTACACTTTTTGATAGAGTGTGTAGAGAAATTGGTAGATAACAACGTAGTGAAAACCCACCCAAAGACATCAACAAGCAGCTCTACATCTAAACCATCACGCTTAGTTGAAAGGCATTTTCCAGAGCAAATGAAAAGCGATATAGGAAAAACTAAATGCCGAGTTTGCTACAAAAAAGGTGTTAGGAAAGAATTTACATACTGGAGTTGGGATTGTAAGGTAGCTCTATATATCAACAATTGTTTTAAAATAAATCACACGGAAGTTGAGTTTTGAATTTTTACATCTATATTTCAATTTTTTAAACTCAATATTTCTATTTTATTTGTGTGCTTTTGTTTATTGTTCTGTAATTGTTAACTTTTTAATATTTTTTATTGTGTATAGAAATAAAAAATATATTTTTTGTAATCTTTATAATTGTTTGTAAAATTTATAATTTTTTAATTCAATGTTTCCATTTTTTTGTTGGTATTCTTTTCT